GAGCAAAACTGCCAAAACAAGCATCAGCTCTGGATCCCAGGTCAAGAGTATAATAGAAGTGACAGCATCTCTCGCTCTCCTAAATGAAGACTCAGCTGCCAAAAAGAGCTACCTGATGCATGTACAGAATTTTGCTTAACATCCTTGTACATTTTTATGATGACGACAATGTGAGGGAATGCTATGGAAGCTTCTTGAGATCTAGCTGAGTATACTTTGCTATCTCCAAGTAGTTGAACATATGCTAGGTCATAAGAATTGTGATTCATAGTCTGAGTCACCTGGCCAGTCTTTGAGCTGTGATGGACTGATCTCTGATTTCATCCCCCTAATAGTGTAGGGAATTTGTGGCTAGGTTTGTTGTGTAGGGGAATGCCAGGATTGGATGAGGGGTCCCAGGTCCCAACCACACATCTCTGCACAAACACCAACCCTGCCTCTGAGCGGGTCAGAGTTAACCACTGGAACAAGTACCACATTTAACAATAGGACAGCCCTTTTACTGAACCCAGGCAAAGCCAAGAAAAGGCCCAGGTCAGTATCTGTAGCAGGGGCTACACAGACTCCTTTGCTCCAATACAGTATACAGCACACTGACACACATCCTGCCAGCTAGACACATACAGACACATACTGACTGTCTGCTCTGCACCAATAAAAATCTCCCCTCCCCCGCAACCTGTTTGTGCACTTTGATGCTGGCATGCATTGTGAGGGTGGGTCTTGCTGCGTGGTCTCAGCAGTCCTGTTGGCTTCAAGCTATAAGAGTCCTATTTTGCAAGCCCCAGTGCAGCAGCTGGCTGTACTCCAAGCAGCTCCTAGTTCAGGCTCTGCACTCCTGCATTCTGGTGGTGTCTCCATCTCTGCCTCAGCTCAGAGTTGCTGCTTATGTTCTTTCTTTCTTTCTTTCTAAATCTTCCCAGGCTTGTTCCCTGTCCTGCTTCTCCCCAGCCATCGCCTCACTGGCTCAAACCCTCCCAGGTGGTCTGTAGTTAATTCTGTGGCCTTGTTTTGGAATGGCATTTCCTCCAGCCAATCAGGTCTGTGGAGAGTAGTGGAGAGGCGGGAAGGGGGAGAAAGGAAGGGAAAGGGAGAAGTGGCTCTATACAGTCCCCCAGGTTGGTCCCAAATGGATAACTTAAGGACCTTTGGACATTCAAGTTATGGTGCCTACTGCCCTGGATGTTAATGTATCTTGATGAAATAGAGAGGCTAGTAACTTGAAAGCAACTGAAATCAGACACCTTTTTAGACAGCAATTAGGGTGAAGATGCAAATAAGACCACATTTTCCATATAGAATATGGCATATGGAGGGCTATCTACCTTTTGCTTTTGGATCAAAGTAAAGTATTATTTGTGTGTGTGAAGTTCCAAGGACTAGAAGAACCTGGACACTTCCTTGAGGGCCAAAGTCTGGATATAGATTTGGATGTCCTGACAGCTGAGAAAAAATAGTTATGTCAGTCTGGCAATTGGTGAAAACTCTTGGTGCCGTAGAAAGGCCAAAGTGTAGGATACAGCTTTATTGATAGAGGTCTCCTACTACGCAAACCAGAGTACATTCACTGGAACAGACAGATTAAGATAAAAATAGATGTTTTTTGAGGGTGTCTCATCACATGTGCTGCTTTTAGCTCAATGTGATTGATGGGCAGACACCATAGGCAGAAGAAATATTTCTGATTGGAAATAATCAAGAGGTCTATCTCTGGCATCCACAGAAAAGTGACATTGTCTTGAATCAGCTCCCTGAGAGATGACATGACAGGGTAATGCATCCCGAGATGAGGAAGTCATATAGCCAACTCTGCTTTATAGCAGGCAATTCTCACCTGCAGAAGGGTGTGCGGGAGCAAGGAATATACCCTACAGACCAATAAGCCTAGGTAACTTGTCTGTACACCTAAGTGTGAATCCAAAAGTTCCAGCCTGTTGTTTTTTCCCATTGGCCAATGTCTCTACCTAAGTTCAAGTGAGTGTAAAAATATTCATCACTTCTCATGGTCCAGAAACAGAATATCTGCCACCTCCAAGATCAGGGGATTCTAAGCTGGGGTACAGAGATCCTCTCAAATGTGAAGCTTGTTTACTCCTCACATTCAAAGAAGGGCTCAGTGAAGACCCAGGATGAAAGTTCTTAGGAGTCTGTAACACCAAGGCAGGGCTCAGCAACACACGAAACAGCACTGATGGTAGTAGCCAGTACCAGATATTAGGTATTCTGTTCTATTCTATATATTTTCTTGTATCAATCTTATCACTGTAGTGTTTGAACATCTTCCAGTAATGCATCAAGCAACATGGCTAACATCTGTCACATGTACTACATTTCCTCTCTTCAGGGGGGAAACGGTTTGTGGAGTAGTCAATCCCTCGGAGTTCAAGGATGATTGTCTTCCATAAAATGATAGCTACTTATTACTGGTGGATCTTCAGATGGCTAATGAGACCAATGCGGGCTCCACAGATGGGGCAGACATTTCCCAATGGAAGAGGTAGATCTGGATTGTTGAGTTAGGCTGTGGTGCATTCTTTCCTCCTTTCCCATTTCTCCATTTCCTGTTATCTCAGTTGGATCTCAAAATACTGGGATCCTTGCCAAAAGGTCCTTTTCCATTTTGGTCGGTTGAGGGCTTGGGTTTCCCATGAGTTTGTGTCAATATTGAACTTCTTCATGTTAACTTTGAGGGTGTCTTTGAAGTGCTTTTTTTGCCCACCCCTCATCTGTTGGCCATGGCTCCATTGTGAGAATCTGCTTAAGGAATAGATTCTCTGGCATTCAAAGAATGTCACCACCTCTACAGAGTTGGTGGAAGATGATCACAGCTTCAATGCTGGAGGTTTTGGCTTGGGACAAAACACTGATGTTCATGCATTGGTCATCCCACTTGATTCAGAAGATCTTGCGGATGCATTGTTGATGGTATTGTCCAAGAACCTTGAGGTGTCTACTGTACGGTGCCAAAACCTTGATCATGTACAAAAGAGCATGGATAACAATGGCCTGGTACATGAGAAGCTTGGTTTGATTCTTGAGGTCACAATTTTCAAAGACTCATTTTCTCAAGAGTCCGAAAACTGCATTGGCACATTGAAGGTGGTGTCAAATTTTCTCGTCAATGTCAGCTTTCTGTGACAGATAGCTGCCAAGGTAAAAGGGTTCCATGTTCTCCAGGGTCTCCTTATTAATCTGAATTATGGGAGCAGGATCCTTGTGATTCGGAGCCTGTTGCCGGAGTACTTACATTTTCTTGGTGTCGAGTGTGACGCTAAGTTGGTTGTAGGCTTCCGAGGAAATGTCAAATATTTTTTGAAGATCTTCTTCTTACTGAGCACATAGGGCACAGTCGTCCGCATATTGGAGTTCAATGACTGTTAGCATCAATGAATGACTCATGACTATCCACCTTAAACTTGCCAAGAACCAGCATGCAACACTC